ATTATTTTTCAGCAAGAATGCACCCGGTTAACGGCTAAATGATAATACAGGTCGTCTCGCGGAGGGCAATCTCAATAATGTACGTATTGTCTATACATTTTTAATATTATCCAATTAACTTAATGCAACTAAGGGAATTTTCGAAAATTGCAAAATAAATTTTTAATTAATAAGGAAAGTGTGGTTACGTATAAAACTATGTTTCAGTAAAATATTTTTTCCATAAAACGGGTTGAAGTTTCGTGTGTCAGAGAAACATGTGATTTTATTACAGGAATAATATATTAAAATCATTGTTTTACTGAGCGTTTTCTAAGGCAGTTTTTGTCGCGCACCACCACTATGTGGAACCAGCTGCCCACTGAAATATTTCCGAACCAATTCGACTTAGGGTCCTTCAAGAAAAGAGCGTACCAAATTCTTGAAAAGCCGGCAACGCACTTGCGAGCCTTCTGGCAATGTGAGTGTCCATGGGCGGTATCACTTAACATCAGGTGAGCCTCCTGCCCGTTTGCCTCCTATTACATTTAAAAAAAAATGTTTTCATAAATATTTCTATGAGATGGACGCCCATTTGGTACGTTGTGCGTTAAGCCAGAGCTCCTTCCTGAAGGTCAGAAGCTTCCTGAGCAGGTTTCACGGACTGATCTCACTGCTCCGAGGATTTCTGTTCGTTGGGAAGCCACGCCACGCATTCCAGGACTACATGGGTGAATTTCTTGGAGATATAAATCTCTAAGTCAATTAGACATTCGTACCTATCCCGTAATTCTTATAACCTTCGTACTCCATACACTAGGCTGTTCTACACCTACCCCTCCCCCCATACCCCTGGGGTGCAGGTTATGGATTTTGGACATATGCATTATAGTTCTAGAACATTATTCTATACATTTTTGTTCTAGGAGATAGTTTAGTCTCATAGTTTAGAAGGAGAAGTTGGTGAACAGCTTTTCCTCAACCTAAACGCTGCCTGTTACAGAGCAAAAACCCGGTTCAATGCCGGTAAAAAATACAAAAACAATTTTATAATCTGCCATAAAAACTTTAAAAGGACACGCGAACATTTTGAACAATAGATCTATTAAGTAATTATAATAAAAATGAAGTCTAAATACTAAAGCGGCACGCGCTTTTTACCTTTTTTTAAGATTTGAACATTCATTTTAATTATATGCAAAAAAAATTACCCAAATTCTATGAAATGTTAATAATTACATTATGTAAATGTTTGTTATTAATTTGTTCAATAAAAAGCTTTCATTGTATAAACCAACAAACAACCTATGACAGTCTGTGCACTCCCAATATATTCATAGTTCATAATAGTTCCATAACACCACCTAATGGTTTTAACGTGCGACTGTCATCTCTAGTGTCGTAGGTTCGAACCCCGGCTTGGCACCAATGGACTTTCTAAGAATGCATTTAACACGGCATGCCTTAGACCCAAAAAAAATACGGTGTGTGTCAGCCACAGTAAGATTGATCACCTACTTGTCTATTAGAAATTATTACGGAACAGATACAAAATTCTGAGGTCCAGACCTAAAAAGGTATTGGTATTTATTTCATTTCATATACTGTGTTTGTCAAGTTAAATAAATCGTTATATAATAAATTCACTGTTACAAACCTTAACCGTTGATTCGTCTGAGTGAAATGTCAAGTAACAATAAGTTTTACTTTACGTCACCTAGATGGCGCCACTGGTCTTAGAATACTAAACTTACATAATTTGTTTATGTACTTGAAGGTAATGATTAAAAGTAAAACAAAAAATAAATTTTCCTTTTATAGGTCGTTGTTATGAAAATAGCGTCTATAGGTACAGTGAAAGAATCGTTGTGTGTTAAATAATTGGTTTGATATTTTGGATGGATGTCAATTAAATTTATCACACTATCAGTGACTTTGATATAATGATAAGTATTGAAAAATAATTAATTAATAATTTAAAAAAAAATGGTGCGTGTCCTAATGTACGCGCGTAAGAAGTTATACTTCTTTGGCTTTCTTTATTTTTTTAAAATATTAAATAATTAATAATAAATATTTAACGTTAATAATTTAATAATATTTAGTACATTATTCAATTATTAATTAATACTAATAATAATAATTATTATTATTTATTATTTTATTATATTATTAATTCAATTTAATAACTAGGTATGTTTCATAACCTTTTAACTAAGTAACAATAGGTCTTTGTGAAAAAGCATTGCTAAATTTCTTTGAAAAAATAATTAAAACTCCTTTATGTGTTTAAAAGGTACTACAAATGTCATTATGGTCATTCAAAATTCTTGGCATAGCTGCTAACTTCACGCATATTCTATTTCTTTTTACATGTAGATTGTCTTATTCCCATCTCAATCGCTCACGCTCGGCGCCCATACCGATAATTTAGTGTCACGGTGCGCGCGCATCGTAAAATTTCACTCTAATAAATTTTTCAAAACGCGCCTAAAGTAGTATAACTTCAAAAATAATTAATCAATAATTAATTTTTTTTAAGAAACCTGTAGTTGTGAAATGATGACCGCGACCTTCGTGGTTTTAAAGTGTATCAAGCCCGAGGTATTTTCGATACTAAAAACACGTGGCATTTTAATTTACAAGTCGTCATTTGAGATTTCAATAAATTATTTAGCATAAAATATAAATTCATTTCATAAATTCGCCTTACGAAATTTTAATTTTAAAAATAGAATTTCTATAAGGTAATTCGCCCTTGTCACTCTCTCTCAATCTATTTCACTTCAAAAAATATTCGAATTTGTCCAGCTGTTTTCGAGTTTTGCGCTTAGCAACATATTTTGTATATTTCTATATGGACCATAAACAATAGTTTGTAATTCGTCATTTGAGATTAGAGATTAGAAAATCAACAGAAGTATTTTGACTGCCGTTCCTAAGGAAGGTAATAAAATTTACTTAAAAGTAATATTACGAACCCTAAGTATTTGTAGCTAAAAATAATATTTTCGAAAAAGCTATAATTATTTTAAAACAAAAAAATCTTTAATTATTTTATTGCACTAACAATTCTAAAAACGGCAATATTCTAGGCTGTTGAAAAATACTGCAATGTAAATTCAACCATAATATTAAGTGATACGAGTCACTTATGCTTAAATAAAATATATAAGTTTACTAAGTGAGATTTAATTGTTTGAAACAGAACAAGTTATATATTTTTTGCTTTCCATTTGATGCTTCGGCGCTTATTATACTTTTAAGATCTAAGAAAGATTATTGAGTAATCATAGAATTTTACTTTTATACTTATCAGAAAACAGTACATATTTATTATTAATTACTTTGAATTGTAAACAATTGCTTTACATAGAACCCAGGATAACAGTTAAAAAAAATTGTGTGCTTTATAAATCGAAATTCAAATAAAAACTCCATTTTAAAAATGTTATTATTAGCTTTTATTTAATCGATAATCACAATAAATGCGTCGTTGTTCTAGTAAATACATAAAAAAAATGTTGTGAACATTTGTATTTTATTACATTGTCTTATAATTTTAATGTTTAACATGAAATTAACAATAGTTAAATTAAACTTATTAATAAACGTGTTAAACCAGTGGTTACGCGTTCAACTATTGAACCTGAGTTCGGCGTTTGAACTCCGGCGTGATTTTTCCACCTGCTCAATTAACATGGGCTCGGAAAATCATTGTGAAATACACCCAATATTCGAGAGTGTGTCAGGAACAAAAGGCTGCTCATCTTTTGTCTATAAATGACAGTTTAAACAGATATGCGATTTCATGTATTGATATTGGTCACCCCTTCTTATATGATTTTGTATTCTGGTATTACGTCTTATTAGAAACGCTACATATTTAATCATACCTGCATATATAGAACAAGTTATATTATTATAAAGTTACTTGAATAAAGACTTAAGTTGGCGCCTGGTTGCACCGCAGAGCTGGTGCTTTCCTCGCTCAACGAATAATTATCGCAATACAGCGAGGAAATGCCAGCGTTATAGGTACACTGCCACAGGGACCAAACTTTTTAAATTTGTTTTATTCTTCTATTTATTAATTATTATTATTAGTATATGGGTTAGGAATATGTTAAATACTGTATATTTGTGTGTTGGAAATAAATAACTAATTTTGCGCAACATTTAATTAAACAATTAACTGGACTGTAAAAAGATAGAACTGATAAAATCTACAATCAAATTACGCGTTCGTCACGCGTTGGTATCTTTAATATTATAATCAAAGTACTGGTCTTCTAAAAAGTATTTATATAAATAATGTTCGAGCAGACACCGAAGTCGAGGTATCAAAAGATTACTCCTAATACAAATAAAACGTCTATCCATACAAATTCACGATAATGTTTACACTAGGTCCCAATATACAGAACTGAGCACCTCTCATATTTGAATATCCACTCTGAATTTACTTAAAAGCAGTTTTTTTACCTAAAACGTCTTGAACGCATAAGTGGCATAATTCGTTAAATAAATATTAAAGTCAGATTGTCACGATTCAAACTCACAGAACTCAGATCAAAAAGTATAACATTAAAAACATCAATTGCATATTTCATAAACTTCAATAAGTAGCAATAAAAAGGTCTTTGATTGAAGCACTAAAGAAACTTCGAAATAGAAGTGTGAAGCAAAGCTCGCTTCTATTCCAGCGGTTATATCATGCATGAAGTCGTGTTGAGGCGATATGCCTCGCTTGTACAGCATGGGGTATTGTTGCGAGGGAGCCGGATATACGGCCCGTCACACGACAGACAGAGAGAGCGATAAGCGCAAGGTGGGCCGAACTGAACGGCCCCCATTGGTGGGTCCCACCCCGCCCCTTTCCCGTCCCGCGCCGACCCGATACCCACGCGAGCACCACACAGGCTCCTCAGTCTATCGCCCGACTTCGAAGCGAAACAATCGCCTTCTCAGTGCTCATTCACCTTTGTGCCATACAGCTAATGCTATAATTGTCTTCGACAATGTCGACACTTAGTCATCACCCGTACGCGTTTTCCATGCATCCCGGTATGCTCCCGGAATACCCGAGCGCTCCACAGCCCTTGCCGGCTTCTTCGCCTCAGTCAGAAGGACACATCAAAAGACCCATGAACGCATTCATGGTGTGGTCCAGACTACAACGACGACAAATTGCTAAAGACAACCCGAAGATGCACAATTCAGAGATTTCAAAGCGACTTGGAGCTGAGTGGAAGTTGCTGTCTGAAATGCAGAAGAGACCATTCATTGATGAAGCGAAGAGACTCCGTGCGTTGCATATGAAGGAGCACCCAGACTACAAATACAGGCCGCGCAGGAAGCCCAAGCCCTCGACACCCGGCAGCGGGCCCGGCGCTGGCGGGTTTCCAAGCTTCCCGCTGCCCTATTTCGCTGGCCCGGCCCCAAATGTTGGACAATTTGACGCGTTATCATACCCAGCAGTGTCACCTTACTTCCCTCATCAATTGGACCATCTGCAGTTTTCAAAACTAATGGCTCCAACGGCGGAAAAGTTGCCGACGGCATCATCAGCGGCGGCGGTCGTTTCATCGTTCTATTCGTCTCTGTATACGACTCCGACGGGACCACCTAAGCCGTTTTCATCACCTCTGTTCCACCAGTACGGAGTTGCTCCATCATCCCCCGTGTCTCCTCCGACACAACACAGCCCGCATGATGACCAGCTAAGGCGGCCGGTCTCCGTAATCTATTGAAGACCGCTGTCTCTTCCCTGAAGTGAACATCAGTGGAGTGTTATAGACAATTAAGACGTGATTATTTATTGTTTTAGATTAAAGCTTAAAGTGCGTCATATCAAGTGTTCTGTAAATATGTTGGAGTAGTTAGTGAGCGGTTTAAGTTAACTGTGATTTTGTTTCGACGCATTCTGTAGACTAGCCGCCGTCAGCGAAGTGAGATTTGTACCAAAAAGAGATTATCTTGTAGATAGGAGTAAGACTGTCGAGATACTTCTTGTCACTAGCTTCCCTTTGTTAAGTTTTATCGTTTAGACCGCGAAGTTTGTCTGTAAGTTGTAAAGTATTTATTACGACCAGTTATTGTGAAGAATTTATTTGTAAAATAGTTGATCGTACTGTAAGGTTAGCATGTTTCTTTGTAAATACTAGTGTTAAATCTGAATCGATGTCATTACCAACGATGTATTATAGAGTAAAGAACTTTGTTAACGCCATAAATAAACAAAATTGTTTTTATTTTATACATTTCGTTTTCTTTCCTTTATCAAACTGATAGAAAAAATAGATAAATATTCCACGTTTACTAAACGATGGCTAAACATTCTATTTTTCTTATTTATATCTTAAAACTTAAGAGACAAGACTTTTCGTCTTCTCTACTTAATAAACTAGATATTTTTGTCCATTAAAAATAATGCACCACACAATATTTTAATACAAAACAGTTTTATTTAAAGATAACTAAATTATAAAAATCTAAGAAAACAATTGATTCTAAAAACATTTAAAAAATCAGTTAGCGCTTCAATGTTAGTTTATAACATCTTGATAAAGGATGCTGACTTTATCTGTTTAAAAAAACTGATAAAATTAAGACTTTATACATAATATATCTGTCCATTATTAATAATGTACAACACACATTATTTTAATACCTTATTTTCTTTAATAAAAGTCTAAAAACGATTATTCTAAATAGCATTAAGATTAGGAAAAAACAGTTATCGCTTAAATGTTATAACGCATTGATGCTGGTGTTTTATCTGTTTATTAAAACTGATAAAAGTGAGAGTAAATTTATAATTATATTAAAGATATGACTATTTCCTGATTTGAAGTCCACGTATGTAACCAATGTTTGCGAAATGTTATAATGTAACTAAATGTTATAATGTAAAAAAATTATATATATCAAGATAAGTAAATTTTTAAAACCGCTCAGTTAATTATAGAAAAACTTGACTATATTTTTCTATCACACAGAGTTTGAATTGTTTATTATGCAACGAAAACATGCATATTAATTCATTCAACTACATATACATATTATAATATGTATACAGTATAATTTTTCAAGTAGGCAAATACAGGTTACAAACTTCACCACTAGATGGCGGCACGCGAAGCTATGATTCAGGAAATGGAACGTGCTTTTGGCTCTTGCCAGAAATTACTAAAATTGTGCTTTAGAGTGACTATTATTTATAATGAGATTAACTGTGTTTTGAGTTACTAAATTTCAGCTTTTTGAATACATAGGTAAGTAGTTATATATTGTGGAATGATTTTAAGAAATATATTTGACGTTGTTAGACTACTCGGCAGTGTTAGCATTTTGGTTGAAATGTTAGCGTACTATGTTCGCAATTAGCATTGTTGAATGAAAGTATTGTGCGGTGTGATTTCTTATAGTATGATATAAACTATTTGTTTATTACGAAAACCTCTTTCAACGAATTCAAAGAATGCACTCATCAGATGTACAATATCATACAATGGACTTAGTAAGGTTAAAGAGCGATAGAAATCGAAGGTTTCAATTCTATTTACACTTAGCTATTAATTAATCTTGACGTCTTCTGGATGATCATTCATCATTTTAAATGTTTGGAAAATTTAAAGTCAATATTCGTTTAATTAGGTATTTATTTAACAATGTAACACCGAGGTTCAAATTTAAAGCACGTAGGCACTCTATTATAGACAAAAATATATAACGCTAGAAATTTATTTCAATTAATTTAAGAAAGAGAGAAATTTCCATTTGGAGTAGAGACTTGGGCCGTGAGGTTCAAGTGCACATGCGCTAATTAAATATTTAAGTTGGTGCCTGGTAGATAGTACCTACCGGTGACCCCAGAGCAGCAGAATACAGCGAGGAATTGCTGCCCACCGGGGCTGCCATAATAACCGAACTTTTTAAAATTGTTTTGATTTTCTTTTTAATTATCTTTACAGTTTAAATTTGTTATTTACTTGTCACTCGTTGTCCTAACTTCCTTCAGTACTATTGATCATAACCGCTCTATCCACGGCTTTCTTTTTTCATTCGCTTCCTGCTAACCATATCTTCTATCTATCTTCTACCCCTTCTTAATTAAATTGAACAAATATACATTTCGACTGATTTTCAGCGAGAGATTTATAAATGTATCTATGTTATTGTTAAATAAACAATGTGTATTTTTTGTGAATAATAATTGTACCCTAGAGTTTATAGGATTGGTCGCGAGTGCGTTGCCGGCCTTAAGGCTAGGTTACTTGCAGCAATGTATTACCACACCCAATTGGGCGGTTTCGTATTTTTTAAATAATCAATGAGTCACACATTTTAGCATGAAATTATTGATCACTTTTCTCAGTAGTAAGAAAACAGCTCTATCAATCTGATTTCCGTATTTATCCGAAATCCGAACCCAGGATTGTTTATGTCTCTGTCAATGCAAATTGTAACGAATCTATGATAATAATGATATATTTAGTAATTTTTATAACATTTACAATAATGTATAAATCATGCCTTAAATAAATTATTCGTAATTTAATCAAAAGTTTCTTCACTCTCTTAACCGAAACCCGAACCCAGAACTACCTCCCTGGTACTGCAGTAAGTACTTAGTGATCTATTTAGTAATGTTTAAGCTACAATATTGTATAAATTATGCCTTAAATAAATTATTGGTATTTCAATCAAAAGTTTCTTAATTCCCTGCGAAGTTAAAACAAAGACGTCATGAATAGATTACTCTCAAACAGACAAATCCACTTGGCGAATTGAAGAAATCGCCGAAATCCTTTCAAACAATTTCAAACAATGACCTAACGAACTAATGATTAATAATGCAAAAGTTGAATCTCCTGTAGAGCCACGAAAGTATATCCGCGGTATACATCGCTTGTCCTAGGGAACCAAGTCGTAAGAGCAAATCAATTTTTATCAGGAATAATAAAAGAAGATAGATAGAGATATCAAATGAAAGCTAATTTCTTATTCGACGTTTAAACATTGTTTTTATGTATTAAAAATATAACTAAATGTACATTACAGTAATTTATCTAATCAAACTTAAGAACAAAAGCGTTTTACGATTGTTTCTCTGTTTAAACTTAAATACAAACGACACAGTAACCACACATTACGACGGTAATTTTGACGAATGTATAGTACCTACGTAATACTGTATTACCACTCCTTTCGCGGAAATATTATGACCTTGGTGGAACAGGGGTATATTATTACCAATCGAATATTAATATTAGGTAGAATTACAATCTAAACTAAAACTATCTTTATGTTGTTGTTAACTTCAGGAAAGTAAAATTAGGTAAACGAGTATTACTACCATTGTGCACAAAATAATTTTCGTAGAATAAAGACTTCCTCGTGGTTTTAATTATAAAATGTTTTGAAAAAATTACATCACCCAAAGAAGACAAATATGAGAAAACATTCAAACAGTTGTAGTAGTGCTTTACGACTTTTGGGCAAGCGATATATAACGCGGACCGTGTTATAGAAAATCGCGTTGTGTATTCTCGTAAAACCACAATAAAAGTAAACGCAGCAATGTGACTGCGCCATACCCTTTTGACGTTTGTATAACACACTATAATCAAATAGAAGTAAAATAATAAAACTATGTACATAGGTTCTACAATTATTCGTTAATAGGCTGTTTTATCTCTTGTCTATTACAAAAAGATAAGTTATTAAAATGTAAATTTAAATAATTTTTAATTAATTCCAGCCGACTACATAATAATATTAACAGGCCGTTTCTCGTTTAATTGAAACGTCGACGTTAAAAAGTCCTTTAAAAAAGTGATAAATAATAGATAAATGAAGACATTTTAGTGGCCCGGCGGTGAAATAAAATAAAACAAAGGTGATCCCCACCGGAACAAGGGGTGCGTAATTATTAAATTGAATCCCATGTTGAGACGCCCCCGCTGGCGACGCCATTATCAACTAATCGACAACCCTGACTGGATCGGATGTTGGGGATAGCTTTGGATACAAAATTTTTAGATAAACTTTTAAAGATTTTATTTAATAAAAATTGCCAGCACTGGCTTTGTTAAACTAGTAGTGGTAAAGCACAAGTCACCTATTAATCGATATTAAAGAATTCAAGAAACAAACTCCTCGGAAGATTAGGAAGTATTAGTTTATAGGAATTTCTTATGTATTCGTCGCATACTACATGGATTATGTATTTTGCCTGATGTGTTCAGTTATATGTTAAGATTCTCTCTTCTTGTAGCGTGCGAGCAAATTATTCTTCCTGTTATTATAAAATCTTATTTTCGAAAAATGTTTTTAAAATGTATTTTTTTTTCTAAATTGTCCAATAGATAAAAAAGTCTTGTCAAATAGATAAAACGCTATCTCGCTCTTACAACTTAATTAACATTAATGATAATGTTTAAATAATCTTCTACTTAGAGTAATTATGTGTTACGCGTAATGAGGTTTAAGTTTCTATTTAGTTTTGGTTTGCTGTGTAGTTGTGTTGAATTATTTCCTTGCTAGTTGAAATTTTTATGTTCTAATATAATGTATGTGAATGTGAGTAAAATAGAAAAGTCATATTTGACGGCTCATTGGTCTAGTGGTTAGTACCCCTAACTGCGAATCCATGGGTCCTGGGTTCGATCCCCGGCTAAGACAAACATCGATGTGATGAGCATTTGGTGTTGTGCTTAGGTCTTGGGTGTTTAAATATGTATTTATA